GACCACAGTTCGAGTCCCTGACCTGGTGGCTCAAATTCACGCCAGGGTGCATCCGTGGCTATCCCCCCTGGGGGGTGATTTCTCGCTTTCTGTCCTTCTGTCTCTCTCTGTCTTTCTGGGGAGCACACAGGCCCTATAGCAAAAACCTCTCTAAAAAAATAAATAAATAAAAGAAATCTAGACGAGGAAGATGAACTCTCATGTGCTTCACATTTCATGAGTAAATCACAACCAATTGTCAAACATCCTCATAGGGAATAACCTATGCAGGATGTGACCCCCCAAAACAGGTTATTTTGTGGCATGTCGCCAGCTGTGTGCTCCTTTTCTTTTCTTTCAAACAGGTTATTTTGTGGCATGTCGCCAGCTATGTGCTCCTTTTCTTTTCTTTCCTCTCACTCTCGCTCTCGTTCTCACTCTCCCTCTCCCCTCCTCTCCTTTTCTTTCCTCCCTCTCACTCTCTCTCTCTGTCTCTCTCTTTCTTTTTCAGTAAACATTTAAGATGTGAAAAATGTGATTTGTCTCTTGCAATCCTGTGTCATACACACCGCGTTGTGAAAGTATGGTACAGTCATCACTGTAGTGGGATGTAAAAGTAAAAATGTAACTGAGTTACATCCTGCTTTTATATTTCCTAGGAATCTGAGAAAAAGGGATTAATCGAGAGAATCTATATGGTGCAGGATATTGTTTCAACTGTTCAGAACATCTTGGAAGAAATAGCTTCTTTCGGAGAACGAATTAAAAAGTAAGTTCTAAACTTGTGTTGTAATGTCTGAAGTAGATGGTGGGGGTGCAGGGTTGGAGGGTGGATTAGAGAAACCATGAACAGAAGCAATGGTGTTAGGTAAGGCCCAATTTACTTTAGTTGGCTTGTTCTTTGGGTTCGTCATCTTCACAGCTGGGTGGCGCCTCAGAACTAGGGTGACCACCTGGCCCAGTCTTCCCAGGATTATTATTTGTAGAGGGGTGTGTGTGTGTATGTGTGTGTGCCGTAGGGTGTGTGTGCCGTAGGGCATGTTTATGTACTCACTGGGGGGAGAGAGAGAGTCTGTCTGGTGACAGAGAGAAAGTGAGAAATCACCCCCCCAGGGGAGATGGCCATGCTCCAATCCCTTCTCCTCCATTCTCCTCCCAGGATCTTGGGCGTGCACGCGTGCACACACACACACACACACACAACATGAGTTTCAAGTCACTGAGTCCAGGACTCAAACTGTAGTCAGCCGTGTAGGAATCCAGCGATGTAATTGCTATGCCTTCTGCTGCCCCCCTGCAGCATAATTATTAATAGTGTCCTTTTCAGGCTCAGAAATATCCCAGTTTGAATGATAAGTTAAAGATAAAAAAAAATAGATTTCCCTATTCAGAAATATAAAGATCAGAAATGCTCTAAAGTAACTTTTAATGTCCAAACCAGAAAACATGGTAAACACCTTGAGTGACTTTGTTTTCTCAGTTCTGCAGAGAATTCCTCTGTGCTACCATAACTAGTAGCATCAGAGACAGAGTGATGTGAAGTTACTGGGTCATCAGAAAAGTCATGCGTTTTTGCATAGAAAAAATATGTCATGCCTTTTCCAACAACCCAATAGTTTGCTGCATACAAGGATGTCTTAGGATAGTAGTTGACAAACTTTCTCTGTAAAGGGCTGGAGAGTAAATATTGTATTTTCTGCTCTGTGAGCCACATGGTCTCTGCCGAACTCCTCAACTCTGTTGTTTAAGTGTAAAAAACGATTATAGTCCATATGTAAAGGAATTGGTATGTGTATTTCAATAAAACTTTATTTATAAGAACAGTGGCAGACTGGATTTGACTCAGAATCAACCAGTAACTTGCTACCCACTACCGTAGAACATCAGGGCTGAATTCTCTACAAGATCTGTCATTGTCGAAAGTCCCAGTGATCCATGTCTTTGTTTTGTTTTATACATTGTGAGTTCTGAGTAACGGGGTCTTCACTTGGTACCAATGAACAGGCAGCGTTTTCATTTTGGGGGGTTATAAATTATAATGTGCTTTTCCATTTTAATCCAGAATTGTGGCAGCATGTTCTAAGGATTCATTAACCCTTATCTTTAATGGTCATGTCTATGTGGGTCATTCTCGTTTAAATGAAGAAGATATTGTTTTGGAATTGCATGAGGGAGGGAGAGTTTAAAATTAGTAATAACAATGAAGTGACAGTTTTAAAGATCAAAATGCAACGTCAATAAATGATGATTCGCATCAGACAATGCAAGTAGTTAATAGGCAGCTCTTTGTGGATATTGATGTTTTTGAACAGTTACATAGCCAATCACATTGCCTTTGAATACCCATTTACTATCAGAATAGTAAACTTGTTTTTTTTTAAAAGAGATTTTTGCTATAGGGCATGTGCTTGCCAGAGAGATAGAAAGAGTCAGAGAAACAGAAAGTGAGAAATCAACCCCCAAGGGGGTTTGGCCACACCACAATCCCTTCTCCTCCATCTTCCTCTTGGGATTTTGGGCACGCAGTCACGTACCCAGTGTGAGTTTTCAGCCGCTGGGTCCGAGACTCGAACCACAGTCAACTATGTGAGAGCCTAGCAATGTAACCTTTAGGCCATCTGCTCTTCCCACATGTTTGTGTTATTTAAAAAGTAATCTAAAAACCACCTTTAAGCAAACGTGGTAAGTGTTCATTGAATTTACATAAAATTCCTATTAAGAGAAGAAAAATGAAAGAGGAGCAAGGTTTTTGCTCACTTTTCTTGATGTGCATCTGCTTTATTTTCCTAAGTTTTATTTACATTGAAAAATGATTTCTAAATACATCCTCAAAATATTTAATCCAAACATACATGATGGCAGACATTAGTGAAGTGATAAGGAGGGCATTGCAACCATTTATCTACTTGTTCTATTACCAGATACAGTGTTTGAGACACTGAGTGTAAGGGTAGCCATAGCTGCTTACAACAGTTGGATCAAATAATTCCATAATGCTATGAAATAAGGATCTGTAGTTTCCCCACTTTATGGATGAGAAAACTAAAGCACAAAGTGAATAAATACGAGGGATCTTCCAACATCTCATGGAGGGGGCCAGCAGATGGCAAAGTGGTTAAGGCAATGGAGTCCCACATGGCCAGCCACAATTCAAGTCCTGGACCCAGTGGTTTGAAAATCACGCTGGATCCAAGTGCATGTGTGTCCAAAATCCCAAGAGGAGAATGAAGGAGAAGGGATTGCAGTGTGGCCATCCCTCCTGGGAGATGATTTCTCACTTTCCCTCCTACCCCCATTGAGCACATGCACCCTACAGCAGCAATCTAAAACAAACAAAATCACTCCTGAAAAAAATGTGTGCTATGAAAAAACTACACATAGATTTCAAGAAGAAAATTTTTTTTGACCAAAATGAACTTGTATTTTAATGCTACTTTTCTATGAGCTCTCCAAAGCCCCCCTTAGGTAACTCAAGATGATACAACTAATAAACTGTGGAGATCAGATTCAGAGAGTCTCTTGTCCTCACTACTCCATTATAATGTCATTGTCCTCCAGGAATCTATTTTTTAATGAAGGAGAAAAACAGCCACAGCAAATTAGAATTAATTAGCATTTGTGCTAGAGAGAGGTGAGGAAGGATACTGGGGAAGGTCTTATTAGTCCTTAGAGGGGATGCAGAAGACAGAGGGTAATTCTGAAAAAGCAACAGTATATCAGCCTCTCTGAGCATAGGAAGAGATGCCTAGGTGAAGACTTGAGTGGGGCTTCAGTAGGTGGAAGCACTTGTGTGCAAAGATGGAGGACCTCGGGATGGCTACCGGGAGATGTCAAGGATTCAGTATGTCTGTGCCATCGGGGACAGGAGTGGCAGTGCTTTGAGAGGAGGCGCATCATTCAGGGCCTTGAGTGGATGGAAAAATGAAGCTGGTGGGGGCAGTAGGTAGCATGGTGCTTTAGGCAGCTAGATCCCAAAGGGTCAGTGGCACAGTGTGAGTCCCACACACGGGGACTAGAAAAACATACGTGATGTGTATGTGTGTGTGCTCAACATCCTGAGGGGGGATTACGGTGTGCATATTCCCCCTGGGGAGTGCTTTCTTACCTTCCCTGTCTCTCTCTGTGTTTCTCTGTCTCTCCCGCTGGCGAGCATATGCACCCTATAGGAAAACAGAAATAAAAAGGGCGGGGGAGGTAGGGTAGAGGCCACTCTCCTGGCAGCCAGGAGGATGAGAGGATGTGGAGTGGGGACAAGACCAAGGAAGGAAGATCGTGTCACGTGGTAAAACCATGTCCGCTCTTGGACATCGCTAAAAGACAAAAGTGGCCGTTGTGCAGTCGATAATGCTATAGAGGAAACGTGGTTGGTGTGACAAGGGGACGTAGCGATTTAAGTGGCCCCCACTCTCCAGCGCTTCCAAGGGCAGCTGCGCTGCACAGCTGTGGGGGCCATGTTTGCGCTGCATTTTCAGCCCGTGAACAGAGCCCTGTTTTGTCCCACTGCGACACAGGAAGACTCATGAGGCTCGACTCCTATTAATTCTTTGGCCATTCATTCTTCCTGTGACCTTAAAGTCCCTGCTGGGCATTCAAGCGGGATGTCATGTGTAACTCTGTTGGAATCCCATTGTAATATGGTACTTAAGAACCAGAAAAACTTTCATCCAACTTTTAGCAACTGCCGAATAAGTAGACTTACATAAAACTCCCTGATAAAGGCTTCCCTGATAGTGGTGTTGTGCTCGCATCGAACTGTATTTCCTTTTTTCTCCTCTTCTCTATTATGCAAAATTCTAATGTATGTGTATATCAGGCTAAAAGATTTACTCACCATTCATATTGTAGCAGTCATGTTACCCCAGACAGTAGGCAGGATGGATCAGAAGGGTGAGAAATAGTTTTAAGTTTCACCATTATGGAGTGATGGCTCCGACCTTCTGTCCTTGAGTGGCTAAGGAAATCTCACAGAGGAGTTGCGATAGAGGTAGACCTAGAATTACTGGGAAGTCATTCCTGGAGATGTTCTAGAGTCAAGATTTGGATTTTTATTTTGTTTTTAAGAGAGATTTTTGTTGTAGGGGTTGTGTGCTTGCTGGAGAGACAGAGCCAGAGAGACAGAAAGTGAGAAATCACCCCCTACACTGCAATCCTTTCTCCTCTCTTCTCTTCTGGGGATCTTGGGCACACATGCCCAAATGCTCAGCGTGAGCTTTAAGTCACTGGGTCCAGGACCCAAACTGAGATTGACTATGTGGGAGTCCAGCAATGTAATCATTATGCCATGTGCTGGGCCCCAGAATGAAGTTTAGAAGATGCATTCCTAAGAGCAAGAACTGCCTTTCTAGCAAGTGATATTGAAAAAATTCTGAACAGGGAAGATGGGAAAGCAAGTCCATGCATCTGCAGTCCTGGCGAGGTCATGGGAGTTACGCATTGATGCAGCTTGTGTTTAATCCGAGCGCATGATGGTAAAGGTGAGAGTGAAGCAGACCAAGGTGTGGGCCAGAGGCCAGGTGTAAGGAGATCACTCTCGGACTACGGTGAGAAACATGCCGCACGTGCAGGAGACATTGCAAAGTAATAACGTGTGGAGGTTCGGATTCAGTTTGTTTGTTTTTAGGAAGGCTAGTCTGGGGACTACATTTGTTCAAGGCTTAGAAACAAGGACAATAATCTGACCGACATAAAGATCAATGCAGTAGAGCGGCCAGGTGGGGAGGAGAAAGAGGACGGCCATGTTCCCACCTTACCACATGTGGTTCTAATCTC